ATAGGTTCTGTTATCATCTCATTCTTATTTTCTCCTTCATCTACAACTTGTTCCCTTACTCTATCTATAACCAAACATGAAAGAGAAACTCCATGTTCTAAAGGCTGATTCTTTGCCCACAGCCATTTCTTATTCAGATCACAGTGCTGGTCCATAAGAGGTCACTTCCAGTGCTGGCTTGGGAGTTGGCATAGTAGGAGGTGCTTTCAAAAAGATTGACTTTTGAAAGGACTGAGGGAAAATATGAGCTATGGATAAATAATCACAATTTCTATCTCTAAGGTTTGCAAAATTCTCATCTTAACAGCCCTGTGAGGGCCTTAATGTGAGTACTATTACATACCTTTTATTGAAGAAGAAAATAAAGTTCAGAAAAGTGGAGTGGTTTGGACATATAACTGGCAAATGACAAAGCCAGGATTTGATTTTGGGTCTTCTGAGGCCAAGACCATTGTTATTTCTACTACCTCATAGCCAACTGATGTACTAGGAACAAAAATTACAAAATAGTGGAATACTAAAATAAGAGGCCACCTAATCTATCTAGTTTGAGCCCATCATAAGAAAAGTATGATAAACAATCCAAATCCAGGCAGCAAAAGTTTAAGTCAAGAGCACATCTCAAAACAGAAGATGGAGGGACTTAATAGCAAATACGTATGTGTGTGTGTGTGTGTGTGTGTGTGTGTGTGTGTATATAACATATATGTATGTGTATATATGTATAATATATATATGTATGTATATGAATCAACTTGTCTTCACATCTGATACTAATCAATCTGTGGATGAAGGATTGAGGACTGATAATTTAAAACAGAAGCAGGTTTGTCAAAGATATGGCGCTAGGATAAAGCAGGCAAGGTCAGCCAATATTTCTCTGTAGACATAGGGCTCTGTAGGGTAATGCCAGAATCTCTAGAGTAATACCAGAACATATCCTAGTTCTTCTACTAACTAGCTGTGATCACAGGCACTTATAGAGGCTTTGTTCCTCAGTTTTCTCATCTGTTAAATAGGAGGGAAGGGAGGGCTAAGGTCCTTTTAGCTCTATTATTCTATGCAGTAGGGTAATAAACTTCTCTGACATGATCTGGCTGACAATATAGATAGAGCCAGAAGGCAAAAGAATCTTATGCTCAATTTACTTGGAAAATGAATGCTACCATGGTGCCAAGACTTTCTCACTGCAACTTACCATGGCTCTAAATCTGACAGTGCCTGGTGTTGGGGCTCAGCCATACTCAGGTGGAAGAAAGCCTGAATGGAATCCTGGTGGCAACCCAAATTTGAGATGGAGGCAAGAGAGTAGGGTTTGAATTCCAGTCATGTGCAAATGACTTAATCTCTCTGAGCTTCAGTTACCTTTCATGTAAGGTGAGGATGAGAATATTGGTACTATCTTATTCACAAGGATGTCCTAAGGAAAGTGCTTTGTAAGCCCAAAAGTGCTTTGAAGCAACTAGATGGTGCAGTTGAATAGAATACCAGACCTGAGCTCAGGAAGACCTGAGTTTAGATCTGGCCTCAGACATTAGCTGTGTGACCCTGGACAAGTTACATAATCTCTGTCTGCCTCAGTTTCCTCATCTGTAAAATGAGGGTAAAGATAGCATCTACTCCCAGGGTTGTTGTGTGGATTAAATAAGCTAATATTTGTAAAACGATTTTCAAGCCTTTCAGGTCTATATAAATGCTGGCTATCACTATTAAAGGTAGTTGCTTCTTTCCTTAAATCACCCTTCCATGGATGTAATCTTGACTTGCTGGGAGTTAATGAGCCAGGGTACCCAGAAGGGGAAAGAATTACTTCCTAATAGAAAATTGCTAACTTTCAAATTTTCCACAGACCTATTGCTTATCTGACTTTGACATTTTTGGAGATCATAGATTTAGAGCTGGAGGTCATCTGGTCCAACAATTTCATCGTACAGATGAGGAAACTGAGGTTCAGAGAGCCTATGGAACTTGCCCAGGGTCACAAAACTAATAAGTGTAAGAGGCAGGATTTCAACTCAAGTCTTTCTGACTCTACATCCAGCCTTCTATCTATGTCATTCTGTCTCCTCCGTTATAATACACAAATATATCCATGATGATGATGTTAACTAACACCTTTCTGTACTGCATGCTTAGCTTGTCTAAACACATTTATCTTCATTTCATTATCACCTTATCTCCCAGAATCTATCAGACTTGCTATGACAGACAGTGTAAGATAGTGAAATACGATTGGGATGGGCATAGAAAGACCTGATTTCCTCTTCCTGGATTTGCCACTAACTAGCTAGTGGCATGATGTTTGAAAAAAATGTTCAATCTCTCTGGGACCTAGTTTCTTCACCTAGAAAATGAGGGACATGGATTAGATGATTTCCAAGTGCTCTCTTAGTTCTAAAAGCTCTATGAAGCCTGACTAACATTCCTTTACTTCGGAAGATTTGTTTCAGAACTTTGAAAAGTGTGAGGTTAAGAAAAATGTTCAGGTTCACAATGTACTCTACCTTGTTTTACATATAATAGATAAATTCCTGAAAAAGGATAAAGAGAATTTGCATAAATTAAAACCAATTTTAAATATACAAGGGGAACTTGTGCAAAAGAACCCTGTGGTGAATCTTTCAATAAAGCAAAGAATTCTTTTGTAATGCAAATGACCCACATTCATCTTTTGTTTTTCCAAAGCTCATATTCTCATTTATCTGATTTCCTTAAAGATGTATGCTCTTAAACCTTGTAGAGCAGACACTCTTCAGTGGTTCTATGGCACTCAGTATATTCAGTATGAAAAAATATCTTTGGTGAGTTGGCCTGACTTTAGGACTGACATCAGAACCCCCAAGATGGTGACATTTGAGAGAATGACAGGATCATATCTTTAGAGCTGGAAGATCATCTAGTTGATTTCTCTAGTTTTACAAATGAAGAAACTGAGGCCCAAGGAAATTAATTGACTTGCCCAAGGTCACATAGCTGGTGATTAGCAGAGTCAAGATTCTAACCCAGGTTCTTTGATTCTAAATCCAGTTTTTTAACCCCTACCACACTTTGTTAGGAATTGTGGAATGCTAGAACTGGAAAGATTACAGTTTTATCTAATCAATCCAATCTCCCCATTTTATAGGTGAGGGACTTGAAAACCAACAAGACAAAGTGATTGCCACCTAGCAAGTCAATGGCAGAACTGGAGCAGGAATCTCAGTCTTTTGACTCTGCCCAGTGCTTTCTCCATTACATCATATTGCCTCTACTCAGTTAGTGTTGCTGCAGACTGGCTATTTTGAAATCAGTGTGAGGATTGAACAAATCCATTCTCCAACCATGAAGATTCCCCTCTTTGGGCAAATCTCTCATAGTAAACAAGGAAGAAAAGGAAGAGAAAGAGGGAGAAAAAAATGCAGCAATTAAATTATTCTAAATGGAATGTTTCCAGGTCTTCCTGGTGGGTCATTTGTGTATTAGTTATAAATAGATCTGCTTACTGTCAATAGCTAATTAATTAGATAGTACTTGGTGGTTGCAGTAGAAGAGTAAAAATTAGGAATTTCAAGTCTAGTCCTCACTCATTTTGGGCAAATTACTCAACCCTTTCATGACAATAATCATTGTTGTACAGGGAAGAAATAAAACCAGTATCATTTTTAACATAAGTAGAAAATCTGTTCACTCCTCCACAAATACTTATAATTTACTCTTTAAGACTTCTCAAACTAAATGCTGGCAGATCTTTCAATATGATAATAGTGGTTAGTATCAATGAATAGATCATTGGAGTCTTATCTATCTACAAGCTTGTTAGAACCCTTTTGTATCTGTAGCTCCTTCTTTCGAAAATATGGAGCTCACAAGGGCCAGTGCACAGGGCATCATGAAGATTTTAAGATGAAAGTTCATTAACTATTTTGAATGAGGCCTCCACTAGATATCACCAATGCTATGGTTTGCCTCCTTTGTAGATCAATTTCTGGTTTGCTTAAAGGGAAACAAATTTGGAGGTCTTGAAATATACAAAGTTTGATGACAGTGGAGGATTGAACCACTTTACACAATAGCATGTTTCATATTGATTTGGTTTAAGAGTGAATGGCCCACCACTTTATATTATCTGATTCCTGGAATACAAGATTTCAAAGAGCCCAAGTAATCTCTGAAAAGTTTCTTCCCATTCCAAAATGCTATTATTGTATCTATGGTTGCACACAATTGTTTAAAAAAGAAGGCTCTGTAGGTAACCTGTGATAAGTCATTTTCCACAAACACCCATTCATTTGAGAAGTTATTAGAAGATGCTATAAAATGGAGCATACATATATGCATATATATGAATATATAGTATATGTACTACATATGCACATATAGTACATTTATATTTGCAGAACTTTGTGTAGTTTTATTTCTTCATTCTTATATATGCATTCAGTAGGACCTGCCAGCCATTCAAAAGCTAAACAAATAGAAAGGAAATACTAGTCAAGTTTGTTGAAATGCTCTTGAATCCTTAAGTGGATTTGTAGCTCCACCATTCACTTAAAAATGATTTTCTTTTTGCAAAGTTAGGGCTTGTAGTGTGGAAGGAGTGGATCACTTGTAAAGAAAATAACAGTTTGGATTTCACTGACAATGTGAGGAGGGCTCTAAACATCATAGCTACTGTAGAATACAGGAACTATGCATGCAAAATACTAGACTTAAAACTATTCTGGATAAATAATTATTGGAAAGAGGAAGGTAGGTGAAACCATTGGCAGTTCACATTGTACTTTGCTTCAGCACCTAGGACAGTTCTATGCAGAACACATTTCCACTTGCCCCCTTTGTAAACATTCCTTTCATTCCAATGAACATGTTGACCATTTGATTATCAATTAAAATGCATAGGTATAACTACTGTAACAACTCCTCCCCTTTTTGTCCCTTTTCCCCACCCCACTACCACCCAACTTTCAACCCCATTTTGAAACACCCTCTGATCAGTCATTAGGACTGTATGTCTTACAAACACCTGGTATGGATGTTTTCCATTTCCACTTCTAATGGTTGGGAAGCAGCATTTGCCACAGGCACTGATTAATTGTGTTTTCATTCCTTGTGTCTCACTGCAAAGGATTCAGTTCAGTTGTTCAGATAAAGGAAGCCTCCTTAATCAGCCCTGAAGTATGGCTACCCACAGGATACATCACAGGAAGTCCATAAGATCAGTGATTTCCTTTCCTCAATAAGGAGGGACCTTCCCAGGGAATATGATTCCTCTGCCTGAAGAGCAACCCCATTTTTTATTAGTGGCTGCGAAGGCAGGCAAACCCGAGAGGTCTGCTTTGGCTCAGAATATCAGTTTTGTTCACACTATGCCCTGACAGCATCATTACACTCCTTGGCTGTGTGTACCAGACACACAATAATATTCTATTTAGGAGGTATCACAACCAGAGGCTGTCCTCGCTTGGGTCTCCACATGAGAACTTGGGCATCATTGGCATTGGGCTTCACTAGTGCATTGGGGGGGATGGGTTCCATTCGATTCAGGATCTTAGGCTGTTCCTGCTGAGTCCTGCCCACCAGCCGGGCTCGATGCCCAAGAAGCTGCAGGGGATCCACCTCAATGTCCACTCTCATCCTCCACTTGATGGTCTGTAGGATAATCTTCTCTTTTGTGGTTGTGTTCATGGCCACTAGCCAGGTGGTAAAGCTTTGGTCCCTCTTGATCCTCGTCAGCAGTGGAACATTACTGTCACTCACAGGGACAGCCCATGTCACACTGGGGTAGAAATTGTCATTCATACTGACTGAGAACCTGGAGATCTTGTTGGTGGGGCCACCAGGGTCACAGTTTCAGTAGTATTCCCATACCAAGGATAGCTCACCCCATCTGAGTCACTGATGGCTTTTACTCTCCCTTCCCTCAAATCCGGCAGTTCCCAGCTTGACCTAGGAAAGCAGAAGAGATTTACAAGAAAAGAAGAGGCTGGGTTAATTCTACAAAGGGTAGAGAGGTGCCCCTGTCTTATTAACATGACCCCACAGAGTAGCATATGAACTCTGGCAAAAGAAAGGATTGGTTAAAAAAATGTACACCATCCTATTGTAGAGTCCCCCCATAGATTTCAATAATGGCATTCCCAGTTGGGAACAATTGGTTCAAAGAGGTGGGCATCACAAACTTGCAGCTGTGAAGCCTACAAATGTGCCAATCAATAGTGGCAGTGGAATGACACCTAAAGGTTTGAGATCGTCTCCTTATTGTACATGAAAGGAACCATCAAGTCAAAAAGAAGAGGAAGATAAGTTACTCTATCTGGGGTTTATAGGTCAGAGTCTGTAGGGATGAAGGAATATTGAGGATTACAGTAATATATTAGGGGTTACAGTGGAATAACTGTCCAAGCAATAGGATTGTTCAAGACACATAAGTTCTAGCTAGCCACCAGTTTAGCCAAGAGAAAACTAAGGAACAGCTAGAATGAGGAGACAACTCTCACCCTTCAGCAACTACCTTGATTTTTAGGAGAGTAGCACTTCAAATGGACACCCTACAACATACTGTTCCCCCAGTTTGGTTGTTTTCAGTCATACACAACTCTTCATGTGCCCATTTGGGGTTTTTTTTGGGAAAGATACTGGAGCAAATTGCCATTTCTTTCTCCAGATCATTTTATAGATGAGGAAACTGAGGCAAACAGACTTAAGTGACTTGCCCAGAGTCAAATAGCTAGTATGTGTCTGAAGCTGTAATTGAACCCAGGCTTTCCTGGCTCCAGGCCCACCACTCTATCCACTGTGCCACTTAGCTGCCTCACTGTTTCCCCATTTTCCTTCAAATCCATCCCTGGTATTTACTTGCTTAGTTTTGAATGCTTATCCTTCTGGGCTCTCCTTTCCTCTGGCCTTTAATGATGTGAAAAGTGGCTCCTGGAGGTGATTTAACCTCCCTGTCCTACACTCCCCAGTCCCATGTCCACTCCTCATGCAGGGAAGACAGAGTAAATGCCATATTTCCAGGTCTCACACTTCCTTGCAGTTTGCTCTTTCCGATTTCCCTTATGAGGGGATGGAAGAGAAGATGTAAAAGAGGTCGCTATGGCTACCAGGATGACATTACAACTCCTGGGGCCAACTACAGATAGTTAGACTTGATTCTTGAGACCAACCACGGGTAACTTGTGAAGGAGATCTTGACTTCATACTTTCTTTGTCCATCTCTAGGATCTATACCTCCATCCCTAACAGAAAACAATGACAACAACCAAAACCTAAAAGGATTCTCCATTCAACTCCTGTCAGAGAGATAAGGCTTGATATTGTCTGATGCACTTTTGATGAAAATTGATAAAATAACCTTTGTTGGCACAAATGTTATAAAATATAAAATAAAAACCCAAAATGTTATAAAATATAAAAAATGTTATAAAATAAAATGTTGAAGAACCTGTACTATCAGGACCACCTCTGAAACCCTTAGCTTCAGGCTAAAGATATTGAGTCGGGGTAGAAAGCCATCTTCCCCTGGGGATGGGGCAGGGAATCTTTGACACCACCTGAGCTACTTTCCTGCCCAATTTAAGGGTGAATGTTGGATGCCATGGGGACAAACTGAGGCCATGGCAACATGTGTTTTCTCTCTTCTCTCATTCTGATGTCTTCCTGTAATAACTATATGTTGCCATAGTGCATCACTGTTGGCAATAGCACCCTCAGTACAAAATGACCTCACTTGTAGACTTAGTGAGATACTTTACTTGAAACATTATTTCAAATCAGTGTCATTGGGTGGTTTCCAGACAATACTATTGCCCTCTTGCCAAAAACCAAAATGAAATAAAAGATAGAAGTGCTTGTTTGAGTGGAATCTAATTGTACATAGATCAGAGGTTGGTCATAGATCCAATCAGTCTTTCTTTCATGAGATGACAAAAAAGGGAGACAAAGATCAGGCTTTTTTGGTCCAAGCAGAGGAAAATGGTTGAATTCCTTAGGCACTTAGCCACAAAATTACTTTGACACATCTTCATTTGGGCTAGGGAAATTAAATTGGGGGGGGATTTGGATTTTTCTAGGTTTAGATGGCAAAACTTTGTAGCAAACCCCAATTCTTTCATTGGGAATTGCCTGCTGCCCCCTAAATCCTCTGATCATAGTATGGCTCTTGGGAATCTCTTTTTGATTTATGTACCATTGGACTCAATTTGATAGATTTGTGCTTTTCTATTTCTCTGATATATTTGTCCCTGAAAGGACTAGAGAATTCACTAGCACCCGGTACATAGTGCCTTGCACACAAGTAAGTATTTTTGAAAAAAAAAGTCTATTGAATTGAATTATATTTTATCATAGTGGATACAGAGTTTTCTGCTGGTAGGGGTCATCTCTCATTTTCCTGTAATAAAGCCAAATGGTAAGAGCCTTGGACTAGTCAAGGACTTTGAGCAAGTGGCTTTATTTCATTGGGCCTCAGATTTCCCTAATACAAATGATAAGGAAGCAAATGATAAAGATACAGATGACAATACAAGTATATAACAAATAAGCAGATTGGGTCATGCAATATATGACAAATACATATGTGCTGCTGATGGGGGAGCACCAGAATAACATTGGTACAAGAGAAATCTATTGGGGGAGAGAAGCAGCATGGGGTAGTAGAAAGAGTTTTGGATTTGCAGTCAAGAGATTTGGGTTGAAATGACAGTGTTGAAATTTAATTTACTTGCTGTGCAACCAAGGGGAGGGCAATTAACCTCTCTGAGTCTCCTCCTCATGTGTAAAGTGAACATACCAATCCCTGCACTACCTCTACTGCACAGGGTCCTTTGTGAGAAAAGCATTCAAGAGGCTTTAAAATATTATGCAAATACAGGCTGTCATCATATACAAGGTGTAACAAATGGCAGTGGCAATGCAAACAAAAATGATTCTTTTTCATAGTCATAGCTGAACTTTCATATCCAAATTATGCCCTTCAGGATGGTCACAGACCTATTCAACAAGGTTTGGAACTGCTGTTGTGAAACCGCCTCCAGAGCTGGTGGGAGATCTTAGGAAGCAAAGTGGTACAATGTCAGGCTGCACCTGAAGTCAGGAAGACCTGAGTACAAATCTGGCCTCAGACACTTATTTACTGTGTGATCCGGGGCAAGCCACTTAATTTCTGCTTGTTTCAGGTTCCTCATCTGGACGTTGGTTTTTTTTTTTAAACCCTACCTCCTGGGGTTGTTGTGAAGATTGAATGAGATAATACTTCTAACGTGCTTTATCAACCTTAAAGTGCTCTATAAATGCTAGTTATTGTTACCACTATGAAATGTGCTCAATGATGACACTTCATCCTTTGAATATGGGTTTGATTTTTGGAAACATTGAAAGCCTACTTGGAAGAAGGTCTGGTTAATAAAAGTGGGCATAACAAAAGTTATCTTTTTGCATCAAAAGTCAACCTTATTTCCATCTTTGGATAGGGTTCTGAAGTTGGAGATGAAGTTTTTTAGACTTTAGCAAAGCAATGTACCATTTGATAAAGTCTTGTTTTCTCATGGAAAGGATGAAGAGATATGAGTTGGATGATAACAAAATTAAGATTCAGAAGGAGGTGAATGGTCTTACTCAAAGAATCTATGCAGATATAAACTCTTAAAGATATATTTTGAAGTAATTTATTATATATTAAATATCATTAAGATATAATCCTCTTAATTTTAAAAATTAGTAAAATGTTGATACACTTAAAAAAGCATTGCCAAGGTCATTTTGCTGCCTACATTTATATATATAGCTTGCTTGCATGATTTTTTTTTATTTGATTCTCCCTTTTAAAAAATTATAAAAAGAAAAATCTGACCCCATTTTTCATTGTCTGAAAATAGTTTGCTCTAGTTTTTTTTTTTAATCCTTTCATTTATTTGCCATGGAAAAGAGTAGTTTGCCTAAAAGGGTGCACTGATCATATACAAAATGTTTGTAATTCTTTGTGAAATTGTAGTTTGTTATCTACTTGTATCTGAAAGTTATTGTTATGAAACATGATCTGCATATTTGAAACATACTTTTGAAGCTTGGCAATGAATTTGCTTTCGAAATTTATTTTGCCAATTGATTTTGGTTCCATGTCAACTTGGAAGGAAGTCTCCAGTGAATGGTTCCTGGGATCTGTATTTGGGTTCGTATTGTTGAACACTTTTTATCAATGACTTGAATTAAGTCACAGCCAAGTTCTTCATCAAATCTGCAGATGGCACAAAGCTAGCTAAAACACTGGATTACAGAGTTTGTATCCAAAAAGATCTTGACAAGTTAATCTAGTAAGACGAAATCCAATAAGAGGAAATTTAATAGGGGAATGTAAAAGTTTATGTTTAGATTTAGTAAATAAATTTCACAAGTAGTAGATGAAGGCAAACATGATTAGACAGTTGCTTGTATTTCATAAAGGTTAGGAGAAGGGGTAGTGGATTGCAACCTCAATATGAGTCAGATATGCGCTATTTGGCAAATATATGCATACAGGTGTGTGTGTGTGTGTGTGTGTGTGTGTGTGTGTGTGTGTGTGTGTGTGCGCATGTGTGTGTGTGTATGGCACTAGGTGGCGCAGTGGATAGAGTACTGGCCCTGGAGTCAGGAGGACCTGAGTTCAAATTCAGCCTCAGACACTTACTACTTGTGTGATCTGGGAAAGTCACTTAACCCTGTTTGCCTCTGTTTTCTCACGTGTAAAATGAGCTGGAGAAGGAAATGGCAAACTGCTCCAGTATCTTTGCCAAGAAAACACCAAAAGGGATTTCAGAGAGTAGGGCTCAACTGAAACAGCTCAACAACAACAACTCTCTCTCTCTCTCTCTCTATATATATATATATACACACACACACACACACATACACACACACATACATACATATATATGTATACATACACAGCCAAAAAAGTAAATATAATTTTA